GTGTGTGTGTGTGTGAGTATATGTATATAGACATATACAAGATTTTACTATGTTCGTATATATATATTTGTCTATATTTTTCGCGTACTCAGACTGTTACGGGAATATTTATGTGTACATGTAAGTATACATATATGCTGGTGTGTACATGTATGAATATACATTTCTATGTAATTGGTGGATACATCTAGATTTTTTCTGAGGCCGAAACATAATGGGCAACGGTTAATTTTTATTAATTTCTTACTTATTACTTTTCTTTCCAGCAAAAAGGACGTGGTGGTGGAGACTCTTGATGGTAAAACAAAAACGATTATGAAGCAGGATATAGTAGTTTACGGCCACTCGTTCAATCCTACCATATCTCGGGAATTCAGGTACAGAGCCATAAACGGAAGTGTAATAAGCATTTGCGATCTGGGTGGTAAATTGCATGTATGTGCATTTGGGTGCATTTTTAGCGCCCGGAGGGCATGTACGCGTATTCGTAGTAGAGAAATCAAGTCTGCCTTCAGCTTTTCTGATTGACCAGAGATGTCAAATGTGTTCGAATACGATTTTGAGTGAGTTTAGCGGGATAGAATTTGTTCAGCTAGGTTGGTTGTGTCGCACAAATATCAATCTTAGTTCAGAATGTGCGGTGGTGTCATATCTGTGCCGATGTGTGCCTGGCTTTTGCTGGGTGTTCCATTGTTTCGTGTTTCCATCATCTGCATGCATATCTTGACCATGTATCCTCACATGACAGATATCACTACTATCTGATGACCCGTCACGACATATTCAACTCCTCGACGCGCAGTACAGTAGAGCTCACTTTCAAACTCTCTATGAATATAGCACTAGCAATAAGGAGGGAGATCTGCGATATGAAGAACTAGAGGAAGCCATAGGCATCTTGGGGTCAATGTATTCTAAAAAGAGAAAGGTTACGTACGAGGTATGTGCACTGCAGCCGGCGCGCGCATACGGAACAAAAATCTGCATACTTTATCCCATTAGCCATGTTTGTCACAGCACTCTACTTTTATTGTATTGTCTGCAATTCTTTCTTGATACATGGAGCTTCTTTGCATTAGATAGACCGGCGCAAGTAGTGACATTATTATGCAGCTACTCATGTATCCCAGACATGCTACCTGTGACGTGTGCTTCTGCATCAATAAAATAAAGTGATATCGCAAGCCATTTTGTGTTTTAATTCTTCACGCTTGCGCATGTCTCCGTGTTGCTTCATCCTCACAGGTGATCAGCCCTCACGTGACCAAATACACAGACAACATCACCATCAGCACACCGTACATCATCAGCAAGCCCATCGCGGCGCTGGTGGAGAAGAACTATCGATCTCTGGGCCGAAACATCGTACAATACGTGAAGGACAAGAATGCCACCCGCAAGCTTGGAACCAACCTTGCATTCACCCCGCACTCGTCCGTGGGCAACAGCGCATCGGATACATCGGCCGGAAGCAGTTTAGCCAGCCAGGATGGGCCAGATACGAAGAAAGACAGCTGAGCGGATATAGCGTATTTACCCAGCGTAAGTATCAACCTTACGAGCAGTTTGTACATAGTTAAAAGAAATCAAAGGTGTGAACAATGTATTGGTCTTGCCGCATGAGCCGCAGATGGGGTAGAGGGAGGTGTAGTGCCACGCCCACAATTTGTATGGTTGTTAGTGAGTCAAAACTACGCAAGTCCTCCATGTTGATACGGCGGGGGGGGGGGGGGGGAACAGCTTTTCCAAACCGTTATATTAAAGTGGAACGCAATCAGAGGCAGTCTTCCCAAATCAGGACATGTGCACAGTCTTCGTGCGGTCCTGCCTTTGCCGTGTTGCATTGTCCCAACTCTCATCGCAGAGTCAGAGCAACCACTGTTGAAATGTATTTCACACCGCGTTAGTCAAGTGCCAGACAACTGCACAAGCCAACTGAATAAACCACCTACACCAACTAAACTAATCACCTACACCTTACAATCACATCAACAGCACAAGCCAACTACACAAACCACCGACACCGACTAAACAAATCACTTACACCATACAATCACATCAACTGCACAAGCCAACTAAATAAACCGCTAACACCAATTAAACAAATCACTTACACCATACAATCACATCAACTGCACAAGCCAACTAAATAAACCACCTACACCAACTAAACAAATACACATACACCATACAATCACATCAACTGCACAAGCAACTAAATAAACCACTAACACCAACTAAACAAATCACTCACCATACAATCACATCAACTGCACAAGCCAACTAAATAAACTAAACAAATCACTTGCACCTTACAATCACATCAACTGCACAAGCCAACTAAATAAACTAAACAAATCACTTGCACCTTACAATCACATCAACTGCACAAGCCAACTAAATAAACCACCTACACCAACTAAACAAATCACTTACATCATACAATCACATCCACTGCACAAGCCAACTAAATAAAACACCTACACCAACTAAACAAATCACTTACATCATACAATCACATCAACTGCACAAGCCATCTAAATAAACCACCAACACCATCTAAACAAATCACTTACACCATACAATCACATCAACTGCGCAGGTCCAACCCACCAAGTACGACGATGGATGTTGACAAAATATTGACTGCATCAATCATTTGCACAAATGCGGAGAGCACCAGCCAAACATATAAATCTACCAGACAACTAGACCTGTCACGTGTAGATGCCAACGCACAACGCAAATACACCGGGCAACCACACCAGCAAGACGTATTGCTCTGCGCGATTCGAAGCATTTACTTGCCTTAAACATTTTGGGGCATTGTAAGGACAAACATCATTACCTTCCACATGCATTATCATTCGAATCATGACAATCACCTCCCTCATTGGCAAGCGCCGATTTCCCATCATGGTCAATATATGTAGTTATTGCCGCTATTTGGTTCAGAAGTAGACAAAGCGTGCAGCAGCTGGCGTGCTTGCAGAGTGTCGTTCACTCTCAGGACCTGCACATTTGTGAACTCCCTGCAGGTATAGTGGAGTGCAATTTCAGTTTATTTAAAAAGTGGCATGTATCTGACTTCGAAAATAGATCGTTACGGTCTCTATAAAGATTCACGTTCGCGCTGATTTTCCCAAGAAAACCGAAGTGAAAACACGGTAAAAGAATCTCATAAATACGAATAGAATATATATATACCATCTGATATATGATATTAATACCAATAACATAGAACATTCGGAAACTGATACAAGTATCTATCACAAAGAACATTCCGATATACATACATATATATATATATATATATATATATGTGTGTGTGTGTATAAATTTGTATATATATATACATATATATATATTTATATATGTAGTATGTATATATACACATATATATAAATATAAATATATATATATATATATATATAAATATATGTTTATTTATATTATATATATAATTATTTATATATATATACATATATATACAAAGGCATATATATATATACAATATATATATTATGTAAAGAGTACATGTGATATATATTTATATATATAATATATATATATATATATATATATATGATAAAATCAATATACATATATATATATATATATATATATATATTATATGAATTTATATATACATATACATGCATACATACTCTTTATAAATATATATATTTATATATATATATGTATATATACATATACATACATACATACATATTTGTATATATATATATATATATTATATATATATATACGAATATATAATGCTAGTAATCAATCGAAGTATAAGAACGTGTTATCTGTAGAAGAGACGATAACACAATTTTTGTGCACATAGTCTAATGATTGGTTTATAATATGAGCATCTACTGTTTTGTATCTTGTACCTAGAGGCGTGGTTTCAATTGGAAAAGGTAGGCTTACTTGCAGACGATGTTGCGGACGTTGTTGAAATACACGTTGCTAACGGGCGTACTTTCGAACATAAATAACCCTCTGGCTAGACCATTCTTAAATGGAGCAAGCGCTTCTTTCACATCGTCGTCAGAGACACAGTCGCCCTCACTCCAATACACCACACCCAGGCCATTGGGAAGTACTAGATCGGTAGACAAATCGGAGATGACCTGATAGTGCATGTGCTGGGATATGCTGAGTCCGAGGGGGTGCACTGTGAAAATCGTAGACATATAGATACACCCCGGCAGGGGAAGTGCCTGGGCCATTATCCCGACACTTGACAGGGAAAGGGCCTGGTCATGTGTGTGCAACAGTGCAAGCGATGAATTGATCGCGTACAGTCTAATGACTAAATGAGGGCTTAAAAGTACGGTGCACACAATCAAGAACCGGGGTACACCGAGACCCCATGTTCACCGCTAGAAGGCTTCACAAATATTGGCACGAATCGGGATTTCTCGACGGATTTGAGCTCCCCACATCGTCCCGAAAAATGTGAGTCGGATAAATTTTCAATAGCATCATTATTTCAGGAGCTGACTTTTCAGATTTTGCCATATTTACAGAATGTACTTTCTGACCCATATGAAGGTGTCACAGACTCACAGTACTCTGAGAGCCTCAAACTCTTCGGATTTGAACTCCCCATGGCCAGAACCTTACTGATGTCTGGCCTCAGAAATTTCTGACGGCCACTTTTTTTTAGTCATTTAGGCTGATATAGGATCTCAGATCTGACCATGCATCACTCAAATATGCCAAAAAGGTTTTATTGCATTTTTGGACAGTTCACAGAATTTCAAGTGCACTGTTAAAATTTTGGAACTTTTTGACAGTTCGATCAAAAGTTATCCACATTTGAAAATTGGGTGGTGTACCCCGGTTCTTGGCTGTGTGCACCATTTTGAATTCTAAAAATATTTATAAACGTCACATGTGGACTCTACATAGTAATAAATAAATAAACAAACTCACACATAATTCAAAGCCTTCTGAAAATAGAACAAGAAGGCTATTGTCTATTGGCCTAAATATTGTGACATATGTATCCTGTTTCTTTTTTAGTCCATATAGAGGGGCTATGAAAAAAACAAAATCACCCGCAGGCCGCAAGTGCATACTCGCTGCATAGCCACGGCACAGTCTGCGTAGCCACTCCTAAAAAGTGAACACGAGTGACTCTTGATGAGATTCTTGAATATCTTCTTGAGGTCTTCATATGTTGACTCTTTGACTCTTGACATCAAACACTCATGACAACTCATAACGTGTGTGGTAAAGTATTTTTTTACCATTGACAAGCAGATCATACACGAGAACACCGCAGGCACAAACTAACACACACAGATTGCATAGCAGGGCAGGTGAGAAGGCAATCTTCGCCGTGCCTATCGAAAACAGTCCAATAATCAATAGCGCAAACTTAGCACGTGGCAAGATATCCTTTAGTGAGTGGTTGGGACGATTGTCTCATACTCTATTAACTATCTCCCCCAAGCAAAGGTGACGACCAAATAACACCCAAAACCTCGGAACAAGGTAAGGAGCATATTTGTTCACATCTCTCGTAGAACTATGAGGTTGAATTTAGCGAACGATAATAGTCAGCTACAAAACGTATGGTGGCCCCACAAGAGGCTCATACGCTATATGATTCTTGTAAATACGTTGTTACGCCTTAAGCTTCAAACACTTGCACACCTCGACCAAATCAGAAATGCAACTGTGATTGGACACATTTATGTTCTACACACCTACTCAAAAGCTTAGAAAATGGTTGGAGCTTTTGAATTCCTGATGCAATTGCACAACCGAGAGAAGTGTGCATAAACCAATCACATAGTCATACTACAAATGGAACACTGTACTTTATTAGACATGCCTGTCCAAATAATTATTGATACTAGAAAATGCGTATAGACTGTAGAAGCACACCTGAAATATTGCGAATGTGCATTCACTGAATATGTGTCGACTACACGTCGTACAGCAAAATAATAAAGCAAATAGGCACGCAACACAGCAGCCATGATTCTTAAGGCATGAGCAAGAACACGACATCCTACTGTAGGGGGTAACGACAAGAAACTGATTGAGCAGTCGAGCGGTAGTATAATTATATAACATTTCAAAAATGGGAATAGAACATATCGACTATTATAAACGAAGTTGTCAAATGAGACTATATATTTGAAAATCCCCTTGTCAATTCATACCATAAGAACAAAACGACACAATGAAAATCAATATAACAATAGGACTGGACACTGAGAACATACACGGACACTTTTCCTCCCAAGTATTAGTTCATAACTTTAACTTGTGGCTCTCAGGTCATCTGCACATACTATAATCGTTGACTGAACTCATAACTTACCTCTCCACTGGTATCGTTGACATCTATTCCTTGTGCGAGGTATCTTCGGACTCTGTCCACATTTCCCTTTTTGCTTGCTTCATGTATATTCGCCATCTCTTCTGGTTCTATCCGTGTTACTTATCTAATAGTCTGTATAAGTTCTACTCTACGTATAGATGAGTAGTATGCGCCGATGTTGTATTGTATTGAAATGAGTTTCGCCTATCAAAACCAGGAGCCACTCGTCACTTTATCTTGCTTTCATGTTAAGGTGTATTGCAGTGGGGTGTATAGTCTAACGTGTATTGCAGTGGGGTGTATAGTTTGACGCGTATTGCAGTGGGGTGTATAGTTTAACGCGTATTGCAGTGGGGTGTATAGTCTAACGTGTATTATAGTGGGGCATATAGTCTAACGTGTGTTGCAGTGGGGTGTATAGTCTAACGTGTATTGTAGTGGGGTGTATAGTCTAACGTGTATTGCAGTACTTGATCCGTCGCTGTGGTTCGCTGTAACTGGGTGAAGTGCTGCAATGGACGTGTGCAGTGTTTACAGCTGACGTTTGACGACCATAGCCCTAAGCCCTCCAAATTGAACAATTTGTGGCGTTTTTTCACAGCCCTCTGGATTAGGGTCGCGAGCAGAAATCAGGTTTCGAAATCGTAAATATAACAGACCTTTATTCAGAGGGCTATGGTTTTTTGTTAGCTTTTTGATTTTTTTGCGTGCCTTCAGGTGGGGGGAAAAGAGAAAAAAAAGAAGGGGAAAGGGGATTGATCAGAGAATATGGGTTTAGGATTTTTATTTCTAATTTTAGAGGTGCTATAAATAGGTCACAAAGTTTTGGCGCGCAATATCAAAGCGCACACACTCATTTTTTAATTTAAAAATAAATAAATATATGTAAATAGCCTACTAAATAAAACAAGCCTGACAACACAAATCTGGCGTACAAATTTTGGAGACAAAGAAAATATATGACGCAAAAAATATAATTGACTGATGCAAAAATTGGTTATGGAAAGTAACCAAAATCACACGTGCACACTAGACGATCCTTTAATAAGCTTATCTATGTCAACTTCGTAGCTCTACCTCGTTGCTACTCATCTCTTATGGCTGCTATCAACGCGTCGTTCTGCTGCCGTACTACTTGATTCATTAACGTCCTACCGATGCGCTCCACCATCTCCACTTTAGTCCCTTGGGCGAGCTCCAATTGATTGCATAGTCGACGTGCTGCATCTACCTTCAGCACCAGTACACTTCCAACGCCAAGAGCTTGTAAGTCTTTGAGTAGTACGCAGCGTTGTCGAATTACTTCTATGTCGCCTTTCAAGGGTGCATTCACGCTTCTAAGTATGTCTTTACACTTTCCTGAAGTCCACTTACCAGAATTGTCAGTGACAAGTGTTGTGTTTTCTGTGCTAGTAAGGGATGTAGGCCTGCCTTTCTTCTTGTTCGCCTTAACCATGCTCAATGTGACTATAGTTGCTGCGCACTTTCTGTTTAAGACTAAGGGCATGTTATTACAAGCAATGTTGTAGAGTGTATTGAGAAGATGAGCTACAATTGTGACCTTTCGGTCTTTGCTGCACATACCACACGTGATCTTCAACTCTTCGAGTGCGCTGCATGCACTAACTCTGTTTTCCATAACAGACCGTATCACCCTTAAGCCGACACGACTTACATACGTTGATTCGTTGAAATGACCCAGTAGAGCTTTGTTCTCAGTTATACAGTCAATAACGTTCAAAACTAAACCTGAAACACGACAACCGATCGTGTTGGCCAAGTCAACCTTTTCCAATCCAGCTGCGCTATTAGAGCGCTGGAATACTCAACACACATTCGATCTTCATCGTCAAGTCCTTTGCCCATACTCACACTGTTGTGACACGCAATGAAATCTACAGGAAAGTTACGGAGCAACTTACAAACGGCGTAGCCGGCAATGTACGGCGATGTTGAGTCTTGGATCGAAGCATTGCGAAGGCTACTATCATAATTCTGTAAGTGTATCCACTTTTGTCTCAGTGCATCGGCTTGCGCGCATTCCAGTTGATCTGTTTTAGCTTGGAGTCCATCGAATAACAACTTATAAGAGTTCACGATTGTGACTTTGATCGACATTCCTGCATATGTCGTACATCGCGCGTGTGATAAGTGTTCTTTGTGCGCTTAGATATGATATTCAAATGACTATTACCACCAGCCATTGAGCGCATAATAGAAAAACTCATCCTTATAGGATCGTTGTTGATCCTGCCTGGCAGAACGTATGCAACATGCAAATCTGTCAGTAGATATCGTATGCATTTAGCCAAACCTCGCAGAGTGTGAGAGATGGTGAAGAATGTTTATGGGGTTAACCCATCCTTCAATGGTTTGCGTCCCCTGCATTCAATGTTTGATCCATCCTCATCGTCTGAATTATTGTCAACATGGTTGCCCTGCTCATTTGTGCTTCCTTGTTCGTTTGTAATATTCAATCTCAGCTAGTTGATTATACTGTCCATCTCATGATCCTGTGTATATATTTTAGTAGTTGTGCGTTTGTATAGGTGTGAGCAGTAGTACATTCTAGATTGTATTAAGAATATTATATATATATATTCAATGTATATTTATATATATATATATATATATACATATATATATATATATATATATATATATAATATATATATATATATATATATATATATATATATATATATATATTATATATATATATATATATATATTATATATATATATTAGTTTAGGTTTTAGG